GAGGCCTAGAGAAATTAATGAGCACCAAGTTCCTGAAGCTGATAAATAAGTGGGCAGGCCAGCATTTAGGTTTGGATCCGTGCGTTGTCGAGCATTCCAAAGCCTGGACTCTGGGTCTGGCCTGGTCCCCTGAGGCCCCATTATAAAGACTTGGTTGTTATTGAAAGGAGTGGAACTTTTAGTAAGTGCTGCCTAGTGGAAGAATGTTGTCAGTGGAACCTGGGTCTTCCTATTTTTTGTTTTGGTTTCGTGTTTTTGAGACAAGATCTTACTATAAAGTTCAAGCTAACCTTGAGCTCAAGAGATGTTCCTGCCTCAGCCCCCGAGTGCTAGGACTGTAGGCTTACACTATAGTCACCCATCACCCTTGAAGGTACAAGAGCAGGAACTGCTCCCCAGACAGCATGGTGTCTACAAACTCCCTCTTTCCAGCACTAACTTGGGCCTTCAGAACAAATATCTCAGCCGGCCACAGTGGCACAGGCCTTTCCACAGTGCCCAATACTCACAAAGCTGAGGCAGGAGGATCTCTAGCGTGCAGGAGGTCAAGCCTGGCCTGGGCTACACAGAGAGACACTCAAAAAAAGGGGGAAGGAGAGGTAAGGGAAAGAAAAGGACAGGAAAGGAAAGGACAGGAAAGGAAAGAAGGGAAGCAGAGGTGACACACGACGCAAGTAGCCTACTTGAAAAGCAGTTCCCTGCATGGGTACCCTTGGACCCGGCACACCTGGGTTCCGCTGCTGAACTGCTGAGGGGAGAAAGCCCACAGCCGGAGACACCTGCAGCGTCAACAGCGCTGTCTTCCCCTGCCCACTACCACTTCGTCCATTACCTCCCTCCATGCTGCTGGGCCTCAGCTGCATCTGTGACATGGGACAGCAGCCTCATGGCACCAGGATGAGGGCTGCACATGCTCAGGCCTGGGAGCAAAGGCACAGGACTCACAAAAACAAGGGTCCTTTTGCAGAGACTGTCACCAGGGAGGACGCCCACCATTATCTCCATCTTGCAGCGTGAAAGGGAGAGAATTCACAGAAATGTGTGGGGCCAAAGTGGAAAGACAGAGAGGAAACTTCTGGAACTGCTAGAGGAAGACACAGAAGGCGGCCAGCCATGAGGAAAGCAGAAACCCACCACACGACACTGCGACCACGGGCCAAGCCAAGTTAGCTGGCCTTCCCTTGTGTGGGTGCTGACAGCCCGACTCTTCCACTTCCAGTCTGGTCCAGGAGACCAACAGAGGGAGCCCAGGTGGACCCAGCCCACCGCACCTTGAGCAGGATCTGCTGAGCCTGGTGCGGAGCAGCAACAAAGCGGGGAGGCACCTTCGAGCCCTCGGGGCTGGGTGTCTAGATAATGACCCCCTTGTCCTCAAGGTCAGGTTGTGTAGACAGTTATCCTAAGAGCGTCCATTGGCAGCTGAAACATAAGCACTTCTATAAGTAAACATGATTCACTGGAAATTGCTAGTTTAGCTTTTTTTCTTCTTCTTCTTTGCTTTTTTTTTGGAGGGAGGGGCATTAAGACAGGGTCTGTAGCTCAGCCTGGCCTTGAACACACTGTGTAGCCCAGGCTGGCCTCAGACTCACAGCAGTCCTCCTGCCTCTGCCTCCCCGCTACAGGCCTGAGGCACTATGCCCAGCTAGTTTAGCAATTAAAAAAAAAAAAAAAAAAAAAAAATTTTTTTTGGTGAGACAGAAATTCACTATGTAGTCCAGGCCAGCCTTGAACTCACAGAGATCTACTTGTTTCAGTCTATCAACTGCGGGGTTCACAGGTACATGCCACCATGTCTGGCATAAGCACTACAGAGTACTGGGATTGATTACAGGTGGGCAGCACCAATCCTGAAATGTTACACAAAAAAGGATATCAAGACTGTGGTGGATGACAACTGGTTGTCAACTTGGAAAAGCCAGCTGAACTGAGCCTTCATGGTGCTGGGTGTGGGAGGCCCACTGAGGGCTCCTGCGGGCAGCAAAAGAGGCAGAACCAGAAAAGAGAGGCTGTCGGGAAGCTGGAGGGAGCTGTTGATTCTCCTGGAGGAGCTTGCTGAGCCAACGCTCCTGACGGGAACTCAACTGTTCTCGTCAGAGGCACTCAGGGCCCCACTGTCGCTGAGGACGCTGCAGTGCTCACCTTCGGGGAGTTCTGGGTCTTACTTCCGCATTGCTTCCTGGCTCCAGCTCAGACCCTCCAGGCTCAGCAGATCCTTCATCCCAATGGCACAGACTTCCTAGCCACTCACCTTTCAGCCTTTGCAATGCAAATCCATGAAGCAGGCCTGTGTGAGACATTGTCGTGGGCTCTAGGCCTCCAATGGGATTTGGGGGAGACATTGTTATGGGCTCTGGGTTTCCAGCTGCACTCAGGCAGAAAATTCCTGAGGGAACCAGGCCTTCAGCTGGATTTTCCTGCCTTTAGTGTATGAACAGACTTCCTACACTTTTTGTATATCACTCTCGGTGACTACTATGAAATAATCTTATAAACTACGTCCTGTATTATATTGTTCCCCTTGCAAAATCCCAAACCACAACAAAGACAAATATGAAAGTATTTGCTTAAGTAAAATATAGTGATGTCGGTTGTGGAGCAGTCACTTTGCTAGACGGTGAGGGAGGAGTGCAGCCACAGTACTGCTGCAATGTGCCTCTCGGCCCTGGGACAATAGTTCCTAGACGCACTGTGCCCCGCAGCCTCCCAACTGTCCTTCAGAGCCATCTGAAACTGTCTACCAGACTTAGCAATGTCCTAAGACTTTTCTCCCCATTTAAAATATCAAACTCCTGCCAGGAGTGCATCCCAGGACTGGGGAGGCTGAGCCAGGAGGACTGCTGCAAGTTCAAGGCCAGTCTGGGCCCACAAACCCTGTCTCCGACTAAAACACACACAAAAAAGTAAATGCACCCCCACCTGACTGCCAAATCGAAGTAGAGCTTGGAGGCAACAAGGGCGAGTAGAACATGGTGACAACCATCACGGCACGCAAGCAATAACTGCTGTGCCCAGCAAGACTCATTATGGCTTCAACCCAGAAACAAGGAGCCTCTGCGTTGTCCAGGGCTGCCAAGTTCTGAGCAACTCTCTGCTGTCCCTGCCTGCCCCCCCCGGGTCACCCCTAGTAGCCTCCTCTCGGAGCCTGAAGTGAGCTCATATACTCCGATGCCCTCACCACATCCGGCCGGCTCACTAGACTTGCTGTGCCGCCCTTTATCTGAGATCTGATTGCACCGAAGTTCCGAGGCTTGGGGAAGACACTTCCCACGAGAAGTAAACTTATTTGCGGAGGGAGAGGAGCATCTCCCTCTGCTTTGCTGGCTCTGCTGTGGCACGAGGAAGTCATGCCAAGGCACAAGAGTCTGTCATCCCAAAGACAGCCTAGAAGCAGCGGGCAGGAACCGGGGACGTCAATCCAGCAGCCCACGACCATGTGCCTGCGTCCCCTCCTGATATGCTTGATTTTGTTTGGAGCGAATGTTAAGCTGGTTTAGTTGAAACAGGTCAGCAAACTTCTGCCTTGTGAAATCCAGACATCATCATTTAAAAGGCCCGGATGAGCAGAATTTGTCTCATCAAGAAAGCCTGACAGGGAGCCCTTCCCTGCTGGCCCCAGCAAGTATTTTCTAACAGCATACAAGGCAGGAGAGGTAGGGCATCCCTCCACCCAAACCCACCTGAGGGTTGCAAGGTGCGGTTTCTGAAATCATCCCCTTCAAAGGGTCATCTGAAAGCCACAATAAGAAAAATCCACTTTCCATTCAAAGCATATTAACTTTAAGGACTCCCAAATCACCAGAAAGAACTGTGAGGGGGAGATGGCTCCAGAGGGCCCTAATTTTCTTCTGGTGTCATAGCAACCCTGTTCTATAAAACAGCCCAAGGCAGACAGTGCAGAGACTGTGAAGAACCACTCCTTCTTCCCTAGAACCTGCCAGCATGTCCCTAATGCTGGAAAAAAAATTTTTCTTTTAAGGGTAAAGTTGGCCCAAGGGATATTAGAGTGTAAGAGGCCATACATACATTGCTGATTCCGCAGAGGCATATGCTGTTCTTCAAGTCACCCAACCTGTAGAAGCCCATGTCACCATCTAGCAGTTAACATGCAATGCCAGCACTGGGCAGGGTAGTGTACACTATGACCCCAGCACTGGGAGGCTGAGGCAGGAGGGTGGCAGTCAGTCACAGGGTACATATGCGTGGGCTCCACTGGTCCCCAAATCCACATGCATGCCAGCCCTGAGCCGGGCCACCACAGCCACCTACTACTTTACCACACAGTGGCACCTCACCCACAGTGCCACCACTGAGGGAAGACCTCTCTCTACAGATTCAGGCTCAGCTCCAGAGTAGCCTCGGTAAGAAGCCCAGAATGCCACACCTCGTTCTGGAGGATTAGCAGTCTCCTGATTTCCACGGCTTCCACCCAACGACGAAAGAGACAGAAAGTACCCAGAGACCCCGAGTACCCCCAGAGGGCAGGAGCTCTGCAGCCATGCTGAGAGCTGCGAAGTGCAGGGTCATCTACAGAATGAAGGAAGCAGAGAGGAAATCCCTCCGTTCTCAGACCAAACAGCACATCTCACTCACAAGCAAAGCTGTCTTGGGCTCCCTAAGTTGTGTTTCAGCCTTGACCCTTAGTGAAAGGCTTATGTCATCATGTCATCCAGTACAGCTCTCGGGTCCCAGCCACGTATGGTGGCACGTGCCTGTTAGCTCAGCACATGCAAGGCTGAGGCAGGAAAATTGCTACCACTGCACTATATAGCAAGACCCTGTCTCAAAAAAGAAAATCACACCATGTCCTTTTCACTTATAAAAGTTGCCGCCAACACACACGGAAAGTGCTAATCCCACGAGCCAGCTTCACACAAACCAAGACACACAGTGGCACCTCCAGAAGGCCAGGTCTGGAGAAAGCCCAGCAAGCACTGCACGCTCTGGTTTTATGCGAAAGCGCACAGCCACAGGCAGCCTCAAAAGAAAGCTTAAAGAGAAAGAACACAAAACAATACCCTTTTTTATTTTAAAAACTCTGGTGAGATAGTTTTCCATAGGACATCCCATTAAAAAAAAAAAAAAAAATGAATGTCAACCAACCTGTGGGTCAGTCACACTATACAACTTCCGAGTGTTTACAGATGCCCAGAATATTTACAAATGCTATTCGGTTAGGTAGTACAGCTCTTCCAGCACATATTCCACAGTCCAAGAAAGGGGGTACAACGGGGTTCATGTATAAAAATCCTTAACAAATGGACGAAGGCAATTTTCCTGAGAAGATTTGTTCTTGAAATCACTTTTCTTCAACAATTGGGAATACAGAAATGGGATGTGTTTGTAGAAGCATAAGAATGTCTAAGTTAACATTGTTTCTTTTAAATTATTTTAAGTACCATTAAGTTAAAATGTTTACATTCATTATAAAAATGCTGTTAAATCTTATGCAAATGATTTAACACTGATTGCTGCAACGCAAATTGCACTTTTAAAAAAAATTATTGCATACATGGAAGAAAAATAGTTTGTTTGCTACCCTGTTTACAAATGGCGACCGACCTCGCAGCGGTCGGGAGAGCTGAGCTTGACTGTCAGTCACAGTGTGTAGTGGCGAGGCGCAGCTGCGCGAGCTGAGCTGCGTCCTCCGCAAGGCCTCAGAGCTGACCCAGACCCCACAACGTGCACCAAGCGGCCTCCACGCTGTGAAGAAATTCGGCAATAACCAATGGATCAGAAGAAGCACACGATTTGGGACAATGTTATGTTATGAAACCCTTCCATAGAACTCGCAATCCTTCTTCTCAGCAGGTGAGGCCGCCCCTGGTCTGCAGGTCGGCTGGAGGCGGCCGGCCCTTCAGGCCCGGAAGAGCCCCTCTCCTCCCGCGCTCGCGAGCCTCTGGCAAGCAGGCCTACTTCAAAGCAAAGGCACAGAATCCCGCATCCGAGGAATGTTCCGTCTGCGTGGTCACCACCGAGGGGACTCGGGTGCAGACCCCGGTAAAGTCCTCCCTGCCTCCTGGCAGGGTGGCTCAGGCCAGGGCCAGAGCACACCAGGAATCCTGTCGCACAGAGGATGTGACTTCGGCCGGCGAGGCCAGACTGACACCAATGTAGAGCCCGTCCTGACTCGAATACTTGAGCTCGCTGCTCTCGGGGTTGGCACCCTCGGCTGCGCTGGACATCACTGGGGCCCCCGCCTGAAGAACGTGGGGACAGAGAGGGAGACATGGTTACTTCACTGGTGTCAGTTCGCCCGGGGCTGCTCGCTGAACACGCGGGGACACAGGCTGGCCATGCAGCCCAGGAGAGAGGAGAAACACAGCTGGCCTTGCCCTCCTATTCCAAGCCAGCAGGGGCTTCACACTGGGCTGCAGCTGTCACACGGACCACTCTTTTTGAGACAGGGTCTCACTATGAAGTGTAAGCTGATCTCGAATTTACTATGTAGCCCAAGCTGGCTTGGATTTACGACAATCCTCCAGCCTCAGCCTCCCCAGGGCTGGGATTACCATTGTGCTCCACTACGCCTGGCTTCCTGTTAATTTTTGATCTCAGTAATCGGCTGAGGATGTAGCTCCATGAAAAGAGCATTTGCCTCGCACTGTCAGGTTCTGTGGTTTGATGCCCAGTACCACAAAACAAACACATAGCAATCTCAAAAACCACCCGGCAAGATGCAGAGGCGAGCAGAGGGAAGGAGGCTGGCAGAGTACTACCTGCTCACCTGGCCAAGTCCAAGAGCTTTGCGGGTGAAACAAAGTGCATGCGCACACATACAGACATGTGCACGTGTCACATAACACACGCATGCGCACAGCACAGCGGTTCTGGACGCTGGGGTGGCAGTGATGTTGCTGAGCGCCACCCTCCTGGGGCAGAGCGCGTGCGCACTGTGGCTTTCCTGCTGCCATGCTGGCATGTACCACAGAGACCACAGCCTCGGAAAGGCGCCCACGTCTCCCGCCACCAGCCTGGCCAGGTTTTCTCCAGACTTCAGAAGTTCATTTTTCCCCATTTCAGTGTCTTCCCATTCACTTGAGCAAGGCCAATGAGAAAACAGCTCTCCTGACCAGAAGTAAAGCCAGACAGTGACCAGACACAAGGGACCTTCTCGGGAATGGGCCGAGCCCCGCCTCCTCCTCCACCCCTGCCGCAGGTCAGTGAGCGTTTTCTTGCTGTCCAAATGATCCCTTTGTGGCACATACAATCCCACGAGACCTTGCTCTGGTAGGTACAGGGTGCAGGAGCGGGCCACACCACACCCCAAAGCAGTGGTTCTGCCCAAGCAGGGCCAGTTTGCTCTGGCCTCGTACCCCAAAGGCTCTGGGACAGCAGCCACCAGGTCCAGACACACAGCAGTCTCTGGCCCCCAAACCTCCTGCCCACCAGACACACCCAACCCTGTCTCCCAGCAAAAATGAGGACTTCTGAGAATCCAGCTACGACAGCACAGAAAACTGTACCAAGGAACATCAAAAAAGAAAGTTTCACAAAGTGATTTGAGTTGTTTAAAATATAAACCACGTGTGGTGGCATACGCCTGTAATCCCAGCACTCAGGAGGCTAAGGCAGAAGGATTGCTGCCAGTCTGGACTACATAGTGGGTTCAAGACCCTAGCTCCAAGAACAACAGCGATCAATTGTAGCTCTTAATTCCAGAGTCCCTGCTATAAGCAAAGCCAGTGTGAGTCCAGATTTAACCCCAAAAGACAATATTCAGTGACAAAGCAATCATTAAGAATCCCCTGCAAGCACTTGGGTCTCACCCAACTTGCCTCAGTCCACCTCTTCCCTAGATGTGCTCTCACAGTTGTCTCCCAGACGTGAGCAGCTTCAACAATCAAGACCCGGGTTGCCTGGGAAGCAGCCACCTCAGGAGAACCCTCTGTGGTCACCAACACAGAGCCTGTTAGCAAAGTCCTCACTAGGACCAGGGTCACCCAGCTAGCAGGAAACAGGACAGTGGCAGACCTTTAGTGACAAACAGGCTGACACAAGGAGGAGCAGAGCAAGATCGGGAAAGGGACCTGTGTTGCCAAAAGGCTTCCTTCGAGGGGCAAGGCACCTGGTGCTCGGGACCATAGCCGGTCAGTAAGTGACCCACTGAGTAAGGTCACCTTCCCCTGCCACAGCCTCTGTACACGGGTCCTCAGATCTTGAAACCCTCTGTCTCAGGGATGGCCGTGACAAATGAGATCACCGCCTGGTGTGCTGGCATATTCGCAGCGTTTGGGAAGCTGAGACTGCGAGACAGAGAGCTTGGAGCTAGCCTGGATTCATATTGCACCTTGCCTCAAAAACAACAACAAAAGCACCTGGAGCCTAAGACTGTGGCAAGAATTAAATGAAACAGTTCACAGAGCCATGCATGAAGCCTGTACCCGGGTGTCGCACAACAGCAGTACTGACGTGCATATAGGCTATTTGTGTGCTTACACCCAGGGACCTACGCCTTGTTTTCTCCCCAGTACCCTCCCTTAGCCAGGAACAAAAGCTGAATGGACCCATCCAGAAAGAATGCCACCAAGGGTCACTCTGTCCCAACTGTCACTGCCAGTCCTTCACAAAGAGATACCAAAAGCTCCACAGCAACCACTCAAAGGGCCTGTGGCTCTTTTGAAAAAGCCACATTAAAGAAATCTTAACACCTTGATGTTATTCTTACACTTGAGCAATAATCCCAAAAGGTATCTGTTGAAATAGCTTTTAGATCTTCCTTTTCCAGACAATATTAGCATTATGCTCGCCCAGAGGTCCACAGAGGCAGACAAAACGCCCAACTCCATGCAAAGACATCAGCTCCTGCGAGATCAAGAGTGACAGTGGGCCAGGCATGGTGGCACACAGCTGTAATCCCAGCACTTGGGAGGCTGAGGCAGGAGGCTGTCAGTGAGTTTGAGACCAGCCTAGGCTACATAGTGAATTCAAAACCAGCTGAACTACACAGTGAACCTTGTTTCTCTCTCTCTCTCTCTCTCTCTCTCTCTCTCTCTCTCTCTCTCTCTCTCATACACATACACACACACACACACACACACACATACACACACACACACGCAAAACAAGCTGAGTCTTTCCAAAAAAACCAGAAAGGGGTGGGAACTAGTTCCCAAGCCTTGACAATTAAATAAAGCATGTAACAATGAGACATGAAAAACGGCAAAGGGAAATTCTTTTGCTAACGCAGAAGGCCGATAGTAGGTGATCACCACAGCGCTGCCCTCGCCCCTTGCCAGGAGGGCTAGCGTGTATCCACAGCAGCATTCATGTCTGATGACTTGAGAAGACTTCTGGCAACATCTCATGTGGAAATAATCCAAAAGAAAGGAAAGCCCCCCTGGGAAGCCATCCGCCGCAGGGCTGCGTCCAGCAAGGGAAGCCCTGGGAACCGCCTGAGGCCAACGGTGTGGAAGGCTGGGAAAGCAGGGTCTCTCTGCTCAGCGAGGCAGTCAGTGAGAATAATAAGACCAGGAAACAAATGGGGAAGCTCTGTCACACACATGAAAACCCCCGGGAGGAGAATGCAGTGTCCCATACACAAGCACATTACAGGGGATAACGAAGGTGGTGACAGGGGCCTCTTGCTAAGGAAGGAAGTGCAGTCTAACTTCAGAAAGAAGGGGAGACCCTGGGACCAGAAACTCCAAGCAAGGTGTGCTACCTCAGGGCGGAGCCACTCCAGACCTGGTCAGACAGAAGCCAAGAAGGAGCCCAAGTGGGGGCACTGGTGTGGGGTGCAGGAGGGCCCGAACACCCCAGACAGCATCATCTGCCTCCTGACACAGCATGGAGCCTGGGCAGCCCTACACACATGAAACACACACCCAAATTTAACATTCAATATCTGAGTCCCTTCAACCAAAAGACCAGCAAACCCACTGCAGAAAGGCAGAACAGTGACAATCGGGTGTGATGGCACACACTTGAAATTCCAGCACCACCTGTAATCCCAGCACCCAGGAGGCTGAGGCAGGAGGGTGGGGAAGCAACACACACACACACACACACACACACACACACACACACACTTCAATTGGTTAATAATGTTTTCTTATACTGAAAATTAAATGCTGAACTTTAGTTCAGCTCGAGCACCTAACCCAACCTCAACCAACCTCTCTTGGCAGCTGGCGTGCCCTTCCCTAGCAGCCGGCAGCCACCAGGCAGATCCCCACTTTCTGGGATCAAAGCCGCAAGCGGGTGGAACTGAGCTCTGCCTTTCCATCCCAGCTTATCTCCCGCACCGGGCAGGACAGCTGAGAGTCGCGCTTCCTGTTGAAAGAACGTTATCAGCACAGCCAAGGCGCGAAGCCCAACTGGGCCTCATAGGCAGAGAGGAGAGGCCGCAGGCTGGAAAACTCCCTCGGAAAGGAAGAAGTGATTCAGGGACGGCGCAGTGGCCATGTGGCCTGCGCAGGGTAAGTACCCCTGGCCTGGGAACCAGGCACACCCGGGCCTCTTTCCTGTGGAATTTATCTAAAAAATCCAAGACTGCTGGGCGTAATGACACGCCTATAATGCCAGCAATCAGATCACTGAGTTCGAGGCCAGCCTGCAGTACATAGTAAGACCTATCTTTAAAAAATAAAAAATCCACAGCCGGGCATGGTGGCCCACACCTGTAATCCCAGCACTTGGAAGGCGGAGGCAAGAGGATCGTTCTGAGCTCAAGACCACCCTGGGCTACAAAGTGAGCTGAAGGCCAGCCTGAACTGCATAGTGACAGCCTGTCTCAAAAAGACAAAAAGAAAAGAATCTCAGATTTGTGATGACATACACTCATGAATTCAAGTGTCCAGTGGACTCTCCAGCTGCTTGTGAGCTTCCCAGAAGTTTCACTCCTGGTCTTTTTTTTGGAGGGGGGTTTTGTTTTGTTTTCAGGACACGGTGTACAAGGTGTACAGGGTCTCACTGCATAGGTTGGACTCATAGTGATTCTCCTGTTTATAGCCTCCCAAGGGCTGGGATTACAGACATATGCCACTACACCCAGTCTCAATCCCTGTCTCAGTGCTCCCCCAGGGCAAGGCCAGCACGGCAGGCCAGGGGACCGGACTCTAGCTCCCTGCGTCTGCCTAAGCAGGCACTTTAATCCACTGAGCTATTTGGCCAGCCCTATAATCCTGATTTTGATACAGCATCTCTCTGTGTAGTTCAGGCTGGCCTTGAACTCACTATAGAACCCAAGCAATCCTCC